GCGGCATTGCGTACTGTACCACCTGAAAGCAGCACAACCAAAAAGATGTTGAACGAGAATTTTAATTTATTTTAATAAAATACAAATAGGCTCGTTCTTTTCACACCAATCTATATTTTATTTGGCATTCTTCTGTTTTAAACAGTATCAGTGTTTAAAATTCAAGCACTGCATAGTTTTAGATAATCTATGAACAATTAAAAACACCTGAACAAATATGAAAATCAAAAGTGAACAAGTCTTTTACTTTTCAGTGAACTTTTATAAAGTGGTATCATTTGAACTATAAATTCAGTAATTTTACAATGTACAATAAATATATATTTGGAAATAAAATGGGTATCTTATGTTAGTACAGCCTCTAATGAATTAGTGGGTCACATTTGACACCATTCAGTATCAAACATGCAGTAAATGAATTAAATGATTGTGTTTGTTATAAAATTACAAACTCTTACAGAAAGCAACAATTTTACTTCTCTGAAAAAAAAATAATAATAATAGAGAACATATACCGTTAAAAAATCCTCAACATGAAACATGTTAAGGGTTTTGAAATTGTCTTTAATGTATTGCAACAAGCTAAAAATGCTTTTTTAAAAAGTATAAATGGCACTTAAGACATTTATAAATATTACTGTATACAGTGCAATCTTATTCAAAACACAACCTGAAAAAAAAACACAGCTTGAAAAGATATCTAAAAATCTAATTGTGAACCACAAAATGGTTAATGCTTTTCAACTTTAAAAAAATCTTTACTGATACTGAGATCTTTATATAATCCAGTAACCAGTTATGTAAAACCCTTTGTTTTCAATGTTTTCACTTTCATCTAATGGTTAAAAAAAGGGTAAATGGCTTGAACTTAAATAGCACTTTATCAAGTCCCTACAGACTCCAAAGCACTTTACACTTAACCATTCACCCATTTATTCACACATTCACACACTGATGGTGGTAAGCTACAATGTAGCCACAGCTGCCCTGGTGCAGACTGACAGAAGTGAGGCTGCCACCAGACCATCTGACCAGCAGGAAAGGCAAAAAGTAGTCATATATTAAATACATGAAATGGTTTTGGTTTGCATTTCCCTGAAACATAATTTTCTGCAGCCCAACCTATGTAAGAAAGTAAACATTCTTAATGATACATCATATTTTGTTTATTTATTAGCTTTTTCTTCACATCCTCAGTCTATCAAACATCATCAAAGATGCCCGTCATGGAGGGGGACAGAGAAAGGTAACGGCCACCAGTGGATCTGTGGAAACAGACATAGAATAAATGGAGGACGACTGCAACGTATTTCAGGRCTAAATGTTTTCTGTTAGATGATGMTCATACCTTGTGTTTGATAAACCTTCATCACTGAAGTTGTCCTGCAGTAAACTCGTGTGCTGTTCTTCTGTGTATTCATCACTTCTGGTCTCTGTAATCACAGTAACAGAGATAAACAAACTTCTCAATGAATGTTATAAACAAACATACTGAAATACATTTTTTTAAAATATTCCAACCATTTTTGTTGCTCTCGGGTATGGAGTTGTTCTGATCATCCTTTAGCTTGGTGTAACCAGCTGTGGTCCGTCCTGAGGCTGTCTGGTTCGACAACCGATCCCTCCAGGCCTGAAGCAGGAAAATAAAAAAAGAATAAAAATGTTGAACACATTCAATAGAAACCAGAAAAAAATGAACCAAAACTTTAATTGTGATTGTGAAGTGATCGAAATGAARAAACTTCTAACCAATCTTCGATTTTCTCCGTCCTCTGCTCTCTGTTTTTTCCTTCTTTCTACAAAAGAGCAGATTGTCCAGCAGACAGTTAAAATTTTACACAAAAAAATAGCCCTTTTCCCCCCTTTTGGCATAGTGTTGAAGTCTAAAACTGTCAAAAGTTCTTGCAGCATAGAAATTAATAATAAACTGAAAACTTAACCTATGTTTTTCTATTCATTTCAATGTATTCCTAATGTTATTACAATTCAATTATAAAAAAGAAAATAATAAATAATCAAGTTTACAATATCTAAGCCAACTTACATATTAAGATCAATCAAATACAGCTCGTCTGGGCAGCAATATGAAAAAAAATGTGAGCTCCTAATTTTGTGGAAACATCTTTCCACCTAAAACTTAAAAGAACTTTGACTAAACTTACCTCTTCTGATGAGTTCTTTGCCTTCATTCACCAAGTCAGAGGTCAAGTCATCGTCGGTAATGTACTGATGGAAGCCCAGGAGGTTCAAACAGCGGGAGCCCAGACTGCAAATTTATGCAAAGACACATTAATTACAAACTACAGGAAAACTAATTATAGTCCTAATGTGCAGAGAAATGAAAAGTAAATCTAAACCAATAATAAATGTTTGGTCGCAGCACAAAGGTGAGCATTTTTAGTAGGGGAAAGACAAAAAAAAAGACATACAGAAGCTTCAAATTTGAGAATAGTATATATTGTAAATCAATTACACATCACACACACACTAGAATGGCAATCACTTCCAAATGACATCAGTCATTTTTGTCAAAGACATGCTGTGAAAACCTATACTGATACAGCACGTATTGCAAAATCATATAGCCATAACTACTGTACATTTGAATGTAGTTCTTAAATTAAATAAATGTTGTTATTATTAGGGCTGTGAAATTAATCGAGTTAACTCTTGATTAATTTTAGTGCTGCATGGGCATAGATTAAAAATTTTAATCACAATTAAAATTTGCAATCACTTTACTTTGGCTGAATATGTAGGTTTGTATATATCAATGCACTCAGTGCATGCCAGGTCCTGTTTGTAAATAAGTGGTTCTCTTAAACAGTTTACCTGGATAAACAAAGGTTAACTAAAATAAATAAATAATAAAAAAATTTATGTTTTGCTGACAACTGTGACCTCAGTATCTATCTTTCATTCCTCATATAGTACTCATTCGGAATGAAAATCCTTCAATTTTTGATTTAACCTCATTATTCTGCACATAATTTAACTGACTCAAATATATTTGGAGCATTTTTTAGGTCCTGTTTTATATTCAAAAAATCATGTCTAAGCATCAATATGTTTTTTTTAAATAAAAAACATAAAAAACTAATTAATAACTCAAGTAATTTATTTTACCAATATGCAGTAGAACTGTATATTAAATTTAGGATAAATCGTGATTAATTCACAGCTACTTTGGGATTAATCAGATTAAAATATTAATCATTTGACAGCCCTAGTTATTATTGTTTAGTTGTTAGTGATTGTCAGTTTACTTATAGAACGTGGCAATGCAGAGCAGCAGCACCAGCATRGGGTAGTAGATATAGAACCCATCAGATATGACCGGCAGCAGCCGCATGGAGCCCATAATCTGGCAAAGAAACAAAACGAGAAACTGTATTGCTGTTTGGTTTTAACAAAAAGAGAAACATTTGTTTTATTATATTCTATAATGGAGTCCTCTGTTTGTCAGTATGTATTACTATTGTGTGTGAACCCACAGAGGTGTATGATGTCTGGATCCTGTCTTGGTGTGAGATGGCAGAGTCCATATGAATCAGGCCAAGGAAGTTGAGACACAAAGGAGGAGTCAGACGACAAAACAGCCTGAGTAAAAAAAAAGATATAAAGATAAAAAGAGCTTTATTTATGACCTGAAAATAATCAGAGGGCCCTGATCTGCTTCTGATTTTATCTCTTACTCTATTCACTATAAGATTATGTTTATAGTAAACTTCATGAATCCACATAACTCATTGCCACAACGCAAACCAATCATTTTGGACAAAATAATGTTAAATTTGCTCTGTATTTTAGCAYATKTTTACAATAATATTGTGAAATATTTCATGCAGTCTTAATGACAGACTTACATGCCACTGAACTGCAGGCTGTAAGCATCAGTCTGGTGATGTGGCACCAGGTGATAGTAGTTAAAAAACCTTATCCTGAACACTGTGGAGTACACGCACACACACATGAAGAGGATGCTAACAAAGCACACCATCTAGTTGGGGAAAACAACAAACAGAAAGGCAGAGAAAAGACAGGTGACCAAAKGATTTCAACACGAGAGATCGTTTRTCAAAATAAAAGGTTATCGGAAAACCAGCTTACCTCAATAACAATGTAATTGTGATGCTGTTGCGCATTCTGAACAAAGACAGCAAACAGAGAGAGGACGGGGTGCGTGCTGAAGAAGGTGCATTCAGACCAGACGACTGCTGCAGAGAGGAGAGCCAGAAGCACCGACAGCAGCCTATAGAACCCCTGTCTGAACAAACACTCCCAGTACCACTCTGAGCAGGACAAACACAGGTGAAACATTAAAACTGCAGTCATTATCATTTTTATGCAAAGAAAACTACATACAGTACTATACAATAGTACAATAATAAAAAAGACGGGGTATATCTTATGAGGTTAGAGTCTTCGTTTAAGTATTAACCAATTTTTTACAAAAAACTAAAAGAGAGAGCATTACAGTGGACTGAACTCACCAACAGTTGGAGTGTAGATGAACCTCCTGATCCAGCCGCGGGGGGCTATAGAGAAGCTTTGGGTGAAGATTCGGAGTGGGCTGCTCTGGCTTTTTGCTACATCTTCTAAATGGAAGGCCTGATCTAACAGGATGGACCACTGCACCTGAGTCTGACCGTGTCTCTGCACTGCAGAGATGACCTAAAACAAACCCAGATACGTTTGGTCTTCCCATGTCCACATTTTGTTTTACTGTGAATGTGAAACACATTCTTACCTTTTTATGAAGCTTAATTAAGCCACTTTTAGTAGGAAGTAAAAGGTTTTCACGATGAGAGCTTTCCACGTTTCTCCCCATCTCCTCCTGATATTTGATAGGACACTGAAACAAAATGACAATCAAATGAGGGCTGATTCACTGAGTTGTTCATGAAAGAAGAAAAAGCAGGAAAAAAAATAAAGAWTGGCATGTTTTGTCAACAAATATCTTTGCGCGTTTCTCACCTTGGTCAAAATGGTGTCCACGTGTTTCCTGAAAATATGGTTGAACCTGACCGACTCATGGACATCTGCAACTTCCTAATAAATGGAGATATTTGGGTTTAAAGCAAAAACTAAAGGCCAGATAAAAMCAAAACATGGGTAACACAATCATTTGTACATGCATTCTGATTCATGTGTTTTCTTGGAAACTCTCACCTCCATGACATCTGCAAGGTTCTCCTCCGCCGCTGCCTTCTCAGTAGCCACTTTCGCTACTTTAAAGTAAGTTCTGGCCAGCAAGAAATGATGTGAAGATGAGAGCCAATAGGAACGCGGGATCTCCACCAGGCCATATCCTAACAACAGCACCAAAAGGAAGAGTCCCCAGGTGTTGGCAGCTGTGATACAGATGGTCTGGATCTCTGTCCTGTATCAGTTTTGAAAAAAGGATCAAGACAGCTTAGAAAACACAACTGCAAAGCTACACACACAGCAAGCCACAAAGAGTTTCGATCCTCCTGACATACCATCTGAGTTTCCATTTTGGGTGAGCAGCCACATAGATCAGCAGGAAGATGAAGATGAGGAGGTAGGTGCCATAATAAATAGCATTTTCTATGACAGCTGTTTTGATCTTTCCAACCCTGGAAAAAGCTCCTGACTGTGCGTAAGACTGCATGAATGGTAACAGCAGCCTGGACATTCACACAGAGAGAAGGGAGAAGTCACTATGCCACAACACAACTTCCTCTTTCACTAAAGTTTCAACGTGTTACAGCTAAAGTGAAAGTCTGACGGTCACAGTGTGTTCTTGAGTTATTAGCATGCAAGGTCCTGACCATGTGAGAAACTGGGAAGTCCAATAAACCACTCTCCAAAACACGGGCAGGACACCGTCTGGAATATAACTCCAGGGTTTTTCGCACGCCTTTGTTACGCTGCAAACAAACATACACAAAGTTCCATAAAATAGCTCACAGCAGCTTTAAATAACCAAATTATCTCTTGTACAGCATAATGTAAAAACAATAATAAATTAAGCTTGCTCCCGCATCTCGATTTGCAACATCATACTTTTAAACACAGCCATGAAGCTTTAAAGTGTATCTTACCCCCCCCCCGTGAAAAGATAACTCCGCCCCAAGGCGAAATTTGAAAAATGCATCAAAGTGGTTAGTGGAGGGGGTGTGGGTAGAGGAAGGGGGGTTAGAGAGCAGAGGTGTGGCCAGGACGAGAGAACGTGATMGGCAGCTAGCATTAGCATAATTGATGCTACATGGAGAGTGACCACAGTATCGCAGATAGTTACATCTCTGAATG